ACGCTGCTGCTGTTGATGCTGCTGCTGTTGATGTTGATGCTGCTGCTGTTGCTGTTGTTGCTGCTGCTGCCGTTGCTGTTGTCGCTGCTGCTGCTGTTGTTGCTGCTGCTGCTGTTGCTGTTGTTGCTGCTGCTGCTGGTGATGATGTTGCTGTTGCTGCTGCTGTTGGTGATGATGATGTTACTGTTGCTGCTGCTGTTGGTGATGATGATGATGGCGCTGTTGCTGCTTCTGCTGTTTCATTGCTGCTGCAGCTACTGCTGCTGCTGCTTCTGCTACTGCTGTTAACGCTGCTCCTGCTGCTGTTTTACTGCTGCTGCAGTACGTCCTGCTGCTGTTGCTGCTGCTGCTGCTGACAAAAGTTTTTGTGTTTGCTGTTGCTGCTGTTGAGTGCAGGCCAGGGTTTGTTCAGGGAGATGAGAGTACGTCCAGCCTCTAGGGTTTAGGGTTTAGACTTTAGGGTTTAGGGTTTGGAGTTTAGGGTTTAGGGTTTGGATTTTAATTCAGTTTGTGTTTTGCTGCTGCGCCTTTCTGCTGCAGCATCTCCTCCGGGGCTTTGGGCCCTGATGCCCCCAATAGCCGTATCATGGTTGGCTAGCTAGCTAGCTAGCTAGTTGGCTAGCTAGCTAGCTAGTTGGCTAGCTAGCTAGCTAGTTGGCTAGCTAGCTGTCTAGCTAGCTCGCTAGCTCGCTGGCTACCTAGCTAGCCAGCTAGCCAATTGTAACACTTTAGCTTGCCAGCTAGCTAGCCGGCGAGCTGGCCAACTAGCTAGCTAGTTAGCTGGCTGGACAGCTAGCTAGCTAGTTAGCTAGCTAGCCGGCCAGCTAGCTGGCTAGCCAGCTCGAATACAACTGGCTAGCTACCTAGCTAGCTAGCTGCTCCTATAGAGCAAGCTGGCTAGCTAGCTGCTCCTACTGAGCTAGCTAGCTAGCTAGCTAGCTGATCCTATGGAGCTAGCTAGCTAGCTACCTGCTCCTGTAGAGCTAGCTAGCTAGCTAGCTGCTCCTATAGAGCTAGC